TCCCTCTCTCGCTCTCTCTCATTCTTACAGTTTTAAGAAGACTACAAGAATAAATGGCAGATCGTTTTACCGTATCACCATTGTGCCACTCTCCGCATTCGAAAACGACTCTGCTCCGATTTCCGGCGACGAGAACGGCGATGGAATTATGATTGAGAACGTTCCTCCGTCCTTTTTCCACCGAACGTCCAAAAATCTTCTTGTTTTCCTTCCCGTTCTCTTTTTTTTTTTTTTGGTGGAGGGGGGAGGAGGGAGGTTTTCGATCCACTAAGGAGGATTGTTGCAGCAATGCCACACGGTTTAATTAGTAAACCAAGCAGTTTTTCGTCTACTCGAGAGAAAATAGGAAGCACCACTTGAATTTTTCCTTCGATACAACGTCCGAAATATTCTCTGCTGGGAGACGCAGCGGCACTGTTTCCAACTTGCCACTCTCTCTCCTTTTCTTTAACGAGAAGTTCTCCGATTACGAGTAGGTATACCGATGATATGTACGCTAATGAAACACGCACCGCCTCCCCTCCCCGTTCACTGTTCCAGCCCCGTCGGATCGTCGCGATCTATCGTGTTTACTATGAGCGACGATGACAGAGATGAGGATGACGACGGCGGCGGCAGCGGCGACAGCAACGACCACGACCACGACGACGGCCACGACGACGACGACGAGGACGACGATCTTCTTCGGGCAGGGCAGCGATCCATGATCGCGCGAGAGTTACGCGAGTGTCATATCGATTGACCAGCACCGAATTCCGCCTCGCGACACCTTTTCGCGTCTGTCCCTAACTTGCTCTAATTTTCACAGTGTTATTCCACTTCCCCCGTTGGCCCGTTCGATCGTTATTGCTAATTGTGTACGTTTGTTTTGCACATTTTGCAGATCGCGCGACAAGCGACTGCGATATAGCAGGGGCGATGGAGTCGAGGCGACGGTAGCTTCGTCTTCAAGAAGCAGCACACAACACAAGTACGCACACGCACGTACTCGAGTCCTTGGAACACAACACAAACACAAACAAGACACACGAAGGCACTACGCTCATGAAACTGCCGACAATTCCGACGCGACGCCGACACGGCAAGTGCGAGCACTGCGAGCAATTGAATGCATCGCCGAATGCAAGCACGAGCGTATTCGCGAGCGAGAACACTTCTCCGAGTTGCGCGTGCTTGCGCGCACACGCAGGATTGCGTGAAATGCGTTGATTCAGATCAGCTGAATTGCTCGGAGAAATAAATGTGACGAGCGAGAAAAAAATTGAATCACCATCATCCGATCTCATTCGATTTCATTCCATTTGTTCACTTACCACAGACTGTATTATACTACTTGACTACTAGACTGCCAACTCCTTAGTACATGTAAAAATGCCATGAAAAAATGCATGGTGTAAAAGTGTACGGCTGGATTTTCACTTGACGCTACGACGCTCATTTTTAGCGTAAAAGCAGGTCACGTGATCGAAATTGATGAATATCCGGCGTCAATTTTGATCACGTGACCTGCTTTGACGCTGAAAATGAGCGGCGTAGCGTCAAGTGAAAACTCAGCCTAAGGTATTCCATTGCGCATAATGGCGGCAGACTAAATCGGAACTACCAATCAAACGCTTGCCCCAAAATTAATGGAATGCATATGGTAGCAATCAACAGCAAACAGCAATCAAGGGGGTCGATTATGTATCTTCAAAGAAGGTGAAAATTACAATAGTGAGTAAATTTACTAGAATACTGATAATTTCATTGGTCAACACCTAGTAAATTTGTTCATTTTTGTAATTTTCATCTTGTTTGAAGATACAGAATCGAACCCAAGATTTTTAAAGGTGTC